AATTGTGGTTGCATGGGCTGAAGGTAAGACCCACATATTAACAAAATTACCTCAGAAAAGCCTGGAATCCATTGTTCACCCACACAGAAGCCCATGGGGAACATTGTGCTCCGTTTCCAGACAGGTTCACTGAGTGGAAACAGGGAGAATCAAGGGAGAATCACCTACACAATTTAAATTGTTCCGAGATTTTGGTTGAATTACCTAAGGTAAATATGAGTCGGTAAATAGCAGCTATTTTCCTAATTTTTGTTTGCAAAGAATCTGGCAAAGCACTTATTTATAAACATGCAGCAGTATAACAGCTTTTAACACATTGTGTAAGAAAATCAGAAAAGGTGTCATCTTGTTTTTTGAGATGATTGACAGAAAGAGTTTTTCTATGTCTTTACAGCTTGCTCTTTGGGGTTCAATTTTTTTATTGTGTATGTAAAGTGTTCTCTCTTAAGGACTCGTATGAAGTTAATCTTTCAAGTCTGAAGAAAAGTAATAGGTTAGAAAAATAAAAAAAAAAAATTATTATTGCCAGGTGTGGTGGCACGTGCCCCGCTTGTTTTTTCTGTTTTGTGTGTGTGGTGTTTTGTTTTGTTTTGTTTTTGTTTTCTTTTTTTGGTCTTTTTGAGACAGGGTTTCTCCGAAGCCCCAGCTGGTCTGGAATTCACTTTGTAGACCAGGCTGGCCTTGAACTCACAGAGGTCTATCTGCCTCTGCTGCCCCTGACTGCTGGGACTTAAGGCATGTGCCACCATGCCCAGCTTGTTTTGGTTTTTTTGAGATGGGGTCTCCCTGTAGCCCTAGTTGGCCTGGAACTCACAATGTAAACCAGGCTAGCCTTGATTTTACAGATCAACCCAATTCTGCCTCCCTAGTACTGGAATTAAAGGTTCTGCCACCACACCCAGCCAGTAATAGATTTTTTAAAAAAGATTTATTTTGTGGGGCATGGTGGCACATGCCTTTAATCCCAGCATTTGGGAGGCAGAGGCAAACAGAGGCTAACCTGATCTTCATAGAGTGTTCTAGGTCAGTTGGGAATATAGGGACTCCCTACCTCAAAAAAATTTTTATTATTTTTTTAAAAAATATTTTATTTTTATTTTATGTGTATGAGTGTATTGCCTGCATGTATGTGAGTGCACCCATGTTGTGCAATGCCTCAGAGGTCAGAAGAGGGCTTCGGATTCCCCTGGAACTGGAGTTAAGGATGGTTCATAGCTACCATGTGGGTGTTGGGAATCGAGGACGGTTCATAGCCACCATGTGGGTGCTGGGAATAGAACCCCGCTCCTCTGCAAGAGCAGTCAGTGCTCTTAACCGCTGAGCCATCTCTCCAGCCCCTTATTATTTTTATTTTTAATTATGTGTATGTGTAGAATATGTATGCATGAGTGCAGGTCCCTTGGTGCTGGAGTAAGAAGCAATTGTGAGCCACCTGATGTGGGTGCTGGGAATTAAACTCAAGTCTTCTATAAGAGCAGTATACACTCTTAACTGCTGAGCCATCTCTCCAGCCCCCAGTAATAGACTTTTTAAATTCATAAAAGATAAATGAATTTAAGGGCCAAGTCCTACTGGGTGGTGGGGATATATCTATGATGCCGGTATTTAGGAGGCTGAGGTGGGAAGGAGTACCTCAAATTCAAGGCCAGCCTGGGTTACATGAGACCCTGTCTCAATCAGCAACAGTTAATCCTTAAAAACTCCCTCAAACCACCTGCACCAAAAAACAGAAAAGAAAAAATTGGGGACCCCTCTAATCCTAATGTTTAAGTAATATGGTACAGGTGGAAATTTGGTTAGAGGTTATGCCAGATTAGCCCTTATATACAAAACTTTTAAAGATTAATTTTTAGTTGTGTTTTGTGTATCTGTGTGGAGGTCTGTGCATGTGTGTGTGTACCACTGGAGGCCAGAGGCATTGGATCCCCCTAGAACTAGAGTTTCAGGCCTTGTGAGAAATCTAGTGTGGATGCTGGGAACTGAACCCAGGTTCTCTGGAAGAGCAGCACATGCTCTTAACCAGAGCCATCTCTCCAGCCACCAAATGTATACATTTTGAAGGTAACCAATTCTCACTGTTTGAAAAACTTTTCTTCTTTTATTGCTATTAAATACAACTCCGATGGGCCTCTTCAGTGCCTTAAAATTCTTTTTTTCTTCTTTTACTTTTACTGACTGATAATTTACATTCACATATGTCCCTTTTAAGTTCACAAGTTTGATGATCTGAAGAATGTATACATGCAAACACATGCTTGAAACTAAGGCTAATCTAAAGCAATGCATTAAACTCTGAACTAGATCTGAGAAGCCAGAAAGAATGATGCTCTCCCTTCTAATTGAAAAACTGTCCACATTGGAGCTACAGGGAGATACTGTCTCAAAAAGACCGCCCCTTTCCCCACCAAAAAAGAGAAAAGCTGTCCACAAAGGATTATCTCTGCTTGCCAGTCACTGAAATTATTGATTAGCTTGTGTTGGCAATGAGCCCACCTGTTTAAACCAAAGGATAGCCATGCTTGTCTATCTCATTTGTGAGACCTTGGGAAAATTGGCTTCGGCCAATTGCCTCATTTTCTCCACCTGTGAATTGGGGCTAGTGTTAGTACCAACTTTTTTTTTTTTTTTTAATGTAAGGGGGCACACATGCCACAGTATGCATGTGGCAGTCAGAGGACAATTGTGGGAGTCCGTTCTCTCCTACCATGTGGGTCCTAGGGTTGAACTCAGGTTATCAGGCTTGGTAGTAAGTACATTTACCTACTGAGCCACCTCACCCACCAGGGACTCACTACGTAGACCAGGCTGGCCTCGAACTCACAAAGATCCAAACTCAAGAGATCTGCCTGCCTCTGCCTCCTGAGTGCTGGGACTAAAGCTGTGTGCCACCCTGCCCTGCAGGGACTCATTTTTTCAAAAATTTCTTTTTCTTTTTTGGGGGATGAAGGTTTTGTATATGTGTATGAGTGTTATGCCTGTATGTAAGTGTACTTGTGTCATACAGTGCCCCAGGAGTGACAGAAGAGAGCACTGGATCCCTGGGAACTGGAGTTATGGATGGTTGTTAGCCACCATATGGGTGCTGGGACTCAAACCCAGGTCCTCTGAAAGAACAGCCAGTGCTCTTAGCTGCTTGCTGAGCCATCTCTCCAGCCCTTCCATCTTCCTTTTGAGATAGGGTCTCTCACTGAACCTGAAGTTCACTGATTGAGCTAGACTGGCTGGTTGGCAAACTGTGGGAATCCTCTTCTCTTTAGGTGTGCACTATTTCCCCTGGCTCTTTCCGATGGCTGCTGGTGATCTGAACTCGGGCTCTCATGCTTGCAAGGGCCAGTACTTTACCAACTGAGCCATCTTGTCATCTCAGACCCCTCTTCGTTCCTCTTTTCTTTCTTACAGTACTGAAGATTGAACCTAGAATTTCCTGCATGCTAGGCAAGTACTCTACCACTGAGCTAATCCCCAATAATACCAGCACTGAAGTCCTGCTCTCAGATTTAGAAGAGTATACAACAAGCAGTCCCCATTCAGTAAACACTAGGCTGTGCTCTGTACTGTGGGTAGACTTGCTGCCTCTGTGAAAGACTGTCTATTCTAGGACAGCAGTTCTCAGAGAATTTTGATTTCAGGACTCCTATGAGCTCTTAAGAGGCTGGGATTGCTGGGCCTGGTGGCTCCAATCTTTAATCCCAGTCCTTGGGAGGCAGAGGCAGGCTGATCTCTGTGAGATCGAGGCCAACCTGGTCTACATAGTAACTTCCAGGTGGGCTGGGACTAGGGAGATCCTGTCAAAAAACAAACAAGACTGGGATTATCATAGTGTGTCACCATGCCCTGCTATGGTAGCCTGTCAGTCTTTCTATAAAGTAAGAATATTATTCCATCCAACTCTTAGGAAGCTTTGCCTACTTTAGGGCATGTAATACTGTCATTTTCTTAAACCTTTCTCTCAACATCATACTAAAAACATTCACATCGTATAACTCCAAACAATAATAGTCTAACAGACGTTTATCCTGCTCAGTGTGCAGAAGTGCACTGAGTACTCAGCATGTGGTAGCTCCCTATTCCAGAAAGATATGCACTTAAGGATTGTAATTTAATAAAATGCTTCATCAAGGACATTCTCAAGGACATGATGGAGAACAGGACTTCTGGTATAATTAGGCACCAGTGCCTTGATTCATGCTAAGGTAACTTTTTTTTTTTTTTTTCCAGGCTGGACTGGAGTTCACTATGTAGTCTTGAACTGGGCTCAAATTTATGGCAATTATTCTACCTTGGCCTCTTGAATGTTGGGATTATAGGCGTGAGCTGTCACTCCCCACTATAACAGTTTTATTTAAATGATGAACAGGCAAATATATCAGTGTGTTAAATTATTTTAGTATAGCTAAATAGTATCAAAATAGTTCAGCTTTCAGACTGAAAAAGTCTCAGAACCATGAGTTCTAGGGAAAGACAAACCAATTTTGGTCACATATCTCCATCCACTGCTTTCTTTCCTTTTTTTTCTTTTCCTCATCTTGTCTTTTTTCTTCTTTTTTGTGATAGGATCTGACTAAGTAGCCCTGGGCTGGCCTTGAATATATGAGCTTCCTGCCTCTACCCTCCCAGCGCTGGGATACAGGTGTGCCAACATATTAACCCCTTTTACTTTATCAGTTAAGCCCATAACTCTATAAGGTAGGTATTATCACTCCCACTTTACAGGGGAGGAAGCAAAAGCACAGGAGGAGAAGTGGCCTGCTTAAGGTGGTCAAACAGCAGAGCCAAGATTCAAAGACAAGTTCCAGAGACCATATTCTTCCTCAGAACCACTGAACAACTAAACAAACCTAAGGAAACCTAAGATAACAGTTAACTGTTACCTCCTGTGGGGAAATGGGAACAGATGGACATTCTTCTAGGGAGAAGTTGCAGGAGTGAACAGGGCATCATTTCTAGGTATCATGTGGGCACCTTGTCCTAACCTCTGCCCTGTTGTTTGCTTTGTCAGGATGACTTCTCGGGACCAGTTGGTGCAGCAGGTGCTGCGGGATCTTCAGGAGGCAGTGGAGTCTGAAGGCCTGGAAGGTCTTGTTAGTGCCGCCCTTGAAGCTAAACAGATCCTATCTTCCTTTACCCTCCCCACCTGCCGGAAGGGTGGCCCTGGGCTCCAGGTGCTGGAGGTAGACTCTGTGGCCCTGAGTCTGTACCCAGAAGATGCTCCACGGAACATGCTGCCGCTGGTGTGCAAGGGTGAGGGCAGCCTGTTGTTTGAAGCAGCCAGCATGCTGCTATGGGGGGATGCTGGTCTCAGCCTGGAGCTGCGGGCCCGCACTGTGGTGGAGATGCTGCTGCACAGACACTATTATCTCCAGGGCATGATTGACTCCAAGGTGATGTTGCAGGCCGTGCGCTACTCCCTATGTTCTGAGGAGTCCCCTGAGATGACCAGCTTGTCTTCTGCCACGCTGGAGGCCATCTTTGATGCTGATGTCAAGGCTACTTGCTTCCCTACCAGTTTCTCCAACGTGTGGCACTTGTACGCCCTTGCCTCGGTTCTCCAGCGCAACATCTATTCCATCTATCCTATGCGAAACATTAAGATCCGACCCTATTTTAACCGGGTCATCCGGCCTCGCCGCTGCAACCACGTGCCCTCCACGCTGCACATAATGTGGGCTGGCCAGCCCCTCACTAGCCACCTCTTCCGCCACCAATACTTTGCCCCTGTGGTGGGACTGGAGGAGGTGGAGGCCGATGGTGGTGCTAGCCAGGCCCCAGCTCCTCCAGCCCTGGGCCCTCTGCTACCACCAACCAAAACCCTGGAGCTGCTCAACCGTGAACCTGGCCTCAGCTATTCCCACCTCTGTGACCGTTACAACATCACCAAGAGCACCTTCTATCGATGGCGGAGGCAGACCCAGGAGCACCGCCAGAAGGTGGCCACCCGCTTCTCTGCCAAGCACTTCCTTCAGGACAGCTTCCACCGCGGGGGCCTTGTTCCCCTGCAACAGTTTCTCCAGAGGTTCCCTGAGATCTCCCGCTCCACCTACTATGCCTGGAAGCACGAGCTGCTGGGCTCTGGGGCCTGCTCGGCCCTGGCACCTGCCCCTCCACCCAGGGAGGCCCTGATTGTGTCAGAGCTGGAGAAGCTGCCAAGGGAGAAGGCTGCTGAGGGGCTGGGATGCTCCCCGCTGGCAGTACCAAACCCTGGCATGGTCTTAATGCAGCGGGCCAAGTCCTACCTGGAGCATTGCATCTCTCTGAACACACTGGTACCCTATCGCTGCTTCAAATGCAGGTTTCCTGGCATCTCGAGGTCCACTTACTACAACTGGCGGCGAAAAGCCCTCAGGAGGAATCCCAGCTTCAAGCCGGCCCCAGCCCTTGCAACCACTGAGGCTCTGCAACCAGTGTCTGTTGGGGAAGAGGCCCTGCTGTCTTGGAAGGATGACATGGGAGCCGGGACAGGGAAAGCAGTTGGTGGAGGGCCACTTACTCCCCAGGAGTTCTTATCTCCAAAGATGCCCCTGTCCCGTTGGCAGAGGCGCCTGCGCAGGGCTGCCCGCAAGCAGGTGCTAAGTGGTCACCTGCCTTTCTGTCGTTTCCGCCTCCGGTACCCTAGCCTGTCACCCTCTACCTTTTGGGTCTGGAAAAGTCTTGCCCGGGGATGGCCCAGGATGCAGGCTCCCTCTTTGGGCAAAGGGAAGCAGGAGCCAGAAGTGCAGCAGGAGATGGAGGACCGGCTTGAGGTGGAAACTGTCAAGGATGTGACAGCTGTGATGGTTCCTCCTGGGGAGACCTTGTCAGTGGTTCCTGCTTCAGAAAAGGCTCCCGAAGAGGCTCAGGGAGGGTTTTCTAGAGAGGGGATCCTGCAAGAGGGGGTCCTGCAAGAGGGGACCATGACCCAGAGTCAGCCCCACATTGGGACCCTGACAAACCAGACTCTGGTGGCAGCAGGGGGGAGGGATGGCCAGGTATTGGTGATGGACATGCTTGCCACCACAAAATTCAAGGCCCAGGCCAAGCTGTTCTTGCAGAAGCGCTTCCAGTCTAAAAGCTTCCCTTCCTACAAGGAATTCCGGGCTCTCTTCCCCTTCACTGCCCGCTCTACCTACTACATGTGGAAGAGGGCACTCTATGAAGGCCTCACTCTGGTTGATGGCTGATGAGGAGGTCAAGTAGGGGCTAGGAGGAAGAGGGACCATTTTGGAGAGAGTCAGGGACCTGAGTTGTCCTCTGACTTGGCCCAGATGCCCTTTGCACTGACTCCCAAGGTAACTCCAATGGCTTGTTATTTTCAGGCTCAGGACAGAGAGCTGAAATCAGCCATCTGGTCTCTGTGAAAGCTACAGGGATGCTGATGTTCTCTTTGGTTGTTGGCTGGTCATATTTTTATTATGTTTTAGTTTTTTGTTTTGGTTCAGGTTGCTTGGCTGAACCCCCTTGACGATGTTAGAAGCTGGTTCACTAAGACTGCCTTTAGCTTTTCCTGGGTCTGAAAAAGAATATTATATCATGACCATTGTCTTCTCTCAGGCAGAGCGTATATATATATGCCTGTACTTTTTTGAGATTGGCAATTCTCTTTTTTCAAAGGAGAATTAGAATTGAATGTGAGGCAGGTCTGTGGCTTCTGTGTCATGTCCCCAGTGGAGATGGTGCCTCTAAGCCAGGGAAGATGCCTGGGCACCTGAGTTCCTAAATGAAAGGCCCACTCCATCTGCTGGGGATCCCTGTAGGTCTCTGCCAGCCTAGCTGGCTGTTGGGGACCTGCCTTTCTGATGAACCGCCTCAGAAACTCAGGGAGTCACATCTTTGGCAAGGGGCCACAAAATGACCGGGCAGGTGGGAGACTGAATTTTCATTGTCCAACATTAAAGTTGGAAAATCAAGGAAATAAAATGTTGCCTTGCACATAGCCCTTGGTCTCCAGGATTTGTTTGACTAAGATATGATCATTCCCAGACTCCTTTTCGGCTTGAAGGGATTGAGGGGCTGTTTTTGTCATGGGGTACAGAGGGCTCTCTTTGGGGGCTAACATGAACTTGATCTGGGAGTGACAGCTCCTCCAGCTGGGTTCTGGCTACCTGGCTACTCCTTCCTCTAGGAGAGACTTAAGGTATTAGGAGTACCAGGCAATCTGATGAGGCCTTACTATGTGTTCTGGCAGGCCAGGCCCAGTCATATAAGGAAACAGAATCTCCAAGTGCTTAATTAGCATGAACCTTTTTTAGATTTCTCTTTTTTTTTTTTGGTTTGTTTGACCCCAGCTGGCTATATAGTATATAGACCAGGCTGGCTTCAATCTCACAGAGATCCACTTGCCTCTGCCTCTCAAGTACTGGAATTAAAGGCATGTGCCACCAATCCGGGGTATTTATTTTATGTGTATGAGTGTTTTGCCTGCATGTATGTAAGTGTACTTGTGTCGTACAATACCCACAGAGGCCAGAAGAGAGTGTTGGATCTCCTGAAATGAGTTGTTACAGTTAACTGCCATGTGGGTGCTTGGAACTGAACCTGAGTCCTCTCAAGAGCAGCCAGTAACCCCTGAGCCATTGTTCCAGCCCCAATTGGCTTGAGCTTTAAGTTCAGGATTTTGCCTACTGATATGAGATGTCAGGGGAGGAGAAATTCCCTTGGGTCCATCGTCCTCCTGCCTTAGTTCCTGTAGAGCCAACATCCCCGTGGTCTTTTGGTAGTCATTCTTGTTTCTGCTCTTTATTCATCCCCACATCCAACCGATCAGCCAGTCCTATTGACTCTGAAGTGCTGGGGATGGAATCCATGGCTTTGTGCATGCTAGGCACGTGCTCTACCACTGAGCACATCCCCAGACTCCTCCTCATTCCAGATTATATTCAGAATCTTCATTCTGCTGGCCCATGTCACAGCTCTCTACTCCCTCCCTCCCACTCCCACTTCAGAATTTAGGATTCTGAAATTTCCTAAAAAGGTATCAGTGACTTCCTTTCATTCCCGGAGTTCCTTCCTTGAAAAGCCTGTGTAAGTAGCTCCTGACTCATTCTTCTACCTCTTCAATGTTTGCCTTTGCCTCCCCCGGACCCCCATCCCTTCCACAGCTACCTCTGATCCTGAATATGTTGTACTCCCTTATGCTCTGGGACTTGTGCCTTTAGTCGAGAATGGTATTTTTATTTCCTCCTTTCCCTCTTTCCCTCTTCCTTTCTCCCCTCCATCCCGCATTTCCCCTTCCCTTTTCCTCTCCTTTGTCAGACAGGGTTTACGCTATAGCCCAGACTGACCTTAAACTCCAGCTCTCCCTGCCTCAGCTTCCACAGAGCTGGGATTACAGGTGTGCACCACCACAGCCAGCTCCAGTGCTTGTCGCTGTCCTCTACATAGCAGGCATTGTAACTCTGAGTCACCATTACATCACCCTTTTGAATTCTCTGGAAGGTTCTTTTTTCCCATTTGAGGCTTTTCTTGATGCTTTTCTTTTCTTGCCTCCCCCACCCCCGTTTAGAACAAAGGTTCTGAAAAACAGGGCTTTTTCTTGCCTTGCTTCTAACAATGGATTCAGAAGATGATGTTAGTTCCAGGCACAGTAGGTGCTAAAATTTGTTGACTTTTTAGAGAAATGAATGAAATGGGGCTTTTATTCTTACAGTTAATCCTTGAGATCTGATTTTTATTAAACCTAATCAGTCTTCCTTCCTAAACATTTCTAATGGGCCATTTTTTCTCCATCTTCACGGCTACCCTATAATCTATGCCAGCAGCTGTGCTCTTGTCTTGATATTGTAATGTTTTTCAAATCAACTCTGCTTCCACTCAAACTATTGCTTCCTCTTGACAAGGGGCCAGAATGATCTTGCTAATACTTGAATCTGATTTTTCCCCCCATTGCACAAATCCAAACTAGTGAGCCCACTTGAGTCCAATCCCCACCTATCTAAGCTTATTTCTCCTATTCATGGTCCACCCCTCACCCAGTCTGACCTTTCTTTTCCTGGTTTACTTTCCTCGCCTTACATAGCATTCAACATAAGTAGAGCACTGTTGATGTTTGTCTATTTCATGCTCTGGATTGAGCTCTGGGTCTCCACCACCTTTGATGATTTGATAAGGATTGAACCGAGGGAATGGGCTTATCTAGCCTGCAGTAGCGACCTGTAACCAGCAGGTGGTACTCTAGTGCAACAAGAGACATCAAGTTACGAGTGGTTATACTCTGGCTGATTTCTAGTACCTCTCCACTTTGACCACCCATAGCTCCCTCCTGGGACTATCATGACAAAGACTGCATTCTCCTGCTTATTCAATTGCCTGCACCCAGCACCAGAGCAGAGCAGAATCTTCTAGTGGGGCCTAAAAACCACCAAAAGGCTGTGGATGCAGCTCAGCTAATGAGCACTTGCTCAGCCTGGGTGATGCTCTGGGTTCTGTTCCTGGTACTGCAAAACTAAACCAAACCAAACCAAACTTCTGGGGGAGAGGGGAGGATAGAGCTATTGTTAGGAGTGTGGATTCCAGGGCCAACCCAGATTTATGAATTCCCACCTTAGACATTGGTATGCCTCAATATTCTCACATGAAGATGGGATCACAGTTATGCCCATGTATGTACCCCCCCACACACACAGTAAGAGCTAGGTGACCATTTGTTATGGAAGCCCTTTGGAGTCAATTCCTGCTTGAGGAGTTGGGGGTGGGTTGACATCTGAGGAGATGGCATGTTCAGAGTTATCCTCAGCTCAGACATTCTTGTTCTGTAATGGAAAGTTTTTTTTGGTTTATTTTTTGTCAGAGGTCAGCACTGAGCCCTAAACCTTCGGAGGAAATTTTAGCTTCTGTTGGAAAAAATTAAATACAAATGACAGGTCAATATCATTGGAAAATGATTTAGTAAGTAGGGTTATTCTTGTGCAGAAGAGCTGTTTCTTTTATAATCTGCTTAGAAAGGCAGGGGTTGTGGCCGTACTTGTCGAGAATGCTTCATGCTGAGTTTGAAGCAGACATTTGTTGAAATTATTTTTGTTCTTTGGTGCCACTTCTCATCCTGGGTACCTATGTGGGAAAAAATCCCAGTGAGATAAAGTGTGAATTAAGGAAGAAAACAATGTGTGAAGTTAGTTTGTTTTTGTTTTTTTGTGTGTGTGTCTTTTTGAGACAGGGTCTCCCTGTACCTCCAGCTGTCCTGGAACTCACTAGGTAGACCAGGCTGACCTTGAACTCACAGAGATCCGCCTACCTCTGCCTCCTGTGTGCTGAGATTATAAGGCATGTGCCACCACACCCAGCCCAAGGTTAGGATTTTTTTGTTTTTTTTTTAAATCTCTAACAGCATCTGTGTGGCTGTGAGGTAATATTTTAAATATAAAAGTTTCATCTTAGGGTGGGTGAGATGGCTCAGTGGGTAAGGGTGCTCACTGCCAAACCCGACTACCTCAATTTGATCCCTAGGACCCACATGGTGGAAAGAGAGACTTGACTCCCACAGCGCGCGCGCACACACACACACACACAAATAAATCTTAAAATTTTAACAAGTTTCACCCTAAAAACCAGTCAAATGAAACATGAATGATTAATTTTACCCTCTTATTTGTACATTTTCCACCTCAGGGCAGCATTCTGTGTTTTTGTGGAGATTATTTTGTCTCTAACAACACATGACTTGCTCCTCAAATATTTCTCTGCCATGAGCTGGGCATGGTGGTACATGTCTGTAATCCCAGGATTTGGGAGGCAGAGGCAGGAGGATTGTCATGAGTTTGAGGCCAGCCTGGGCTATCCTATCTCAAAACAAAAATACCTTTGTTTGGAGTTGAGCACTCATGTCCCTGGGGAATTAATGGTGGCTCTTGGGGTGTGCATGTCTACCTCACTTCCGATTGGACAACCTGGATGTCCTATTCTGGGCTTAGTCTTTCCTTTCCCACTAGCTCACTCTTCTCTGGGTACTCTGGCTGCTTGTTATCAATTGGACTGGCCAGAGGCTGAGTTAGCCTAGCATGTTTCCCACTCTGTTCCAGTGGAATTGTGGGACCATCACAGGCTTTAAATGATTTCATGGCTGGACTTTTTCACAGGAAGAAAATCATTCACCCAGTCCATCCCTATCTTCTCCATCAAACTCTGTTCTCATGCCAGGTCACACCTGTGGCCAGCCTAAGTCAAGGTCACACACTGCCAGGTCACA